ACAGCGTTTCCTAGCACCTGCCGCTTACGGATTGTTTGGAATTATAAATATGAGTGTAGTTCGTCTGTTGATATCACATGTACATTTTTTGTTCGTTGTTTTTTTTAGTTTGTTACTCAGACGCAGGCAGTGCGCTGCATGAGACAAAAAAAGTCTCAAAGTCGCATAGCCGCTCTTTAGTGTAGATGCATGTTGATTTTATCAGACGATGCCGTGATTATAAATGTGAGACTCCTGATTAACAATAAAAGGGGTCGTGTTTAGTCACTATTTAGTGTGGTATTTTTTGACAATATTCACTCATCATGACAGAAAAATAGGGCATTAGAAGTCAATATACTGCAGTATTTCCTCTCAATCAGTAGAAAATATGGTTAACACCCGGTCATGCATGAAAAAACAAATACCGCCATGTACCGTGGAACCGGTATAATTTTGAAAAATACCGTGATATAAATTTTTGGTCATACCGCCCAGCACTAATTATATCTAATGCGGTCACGCCCACGAGCCGATCTCGCTTTTCAGATTCTAAACATCCACGTGAGACACGCGCACAAGTAAACGCCCACATCGCCTCCGCGTAAACAAACGTGAAGAGTTCATCCCGGCTACTTTTTGTTTCTGGAAGAAGACGCGCTGAGAGAAATAACCCAGAATTTACCTCACAAAGCAATGCGTCACGCAGCTAGATCCAGTGGAGACTATCACTCTGATGAGTAGCCTAAGATTACTTGCATCTGTTGTTGTTGTTATTGTGACATAACTTGTGCACATTTTACTAGTTAGACTTTTCTAATTCCTGACTACATGTTTGAAATCAAGTGAAACATTTTGAAATATGTGATATTTCATTGTCTAAATGTTTCACAACGCCTGAATGTTTAATATTTTAACATATAACCACAAGATATAAATATAGTATGAGTGTTAACACTATGAATGAATGTTTGGCACAAAGGTGTGTTACTGTTCAAGTCTCAGTGTTCAGATCAGTATGTGAAGAGTTCATCCCGGCTACTTTTTGTTTCTGGAAGAAGACGCGCTGAGAGAAATAACCCAGAATTTACCTCACAAAGCAATGCGTCACGCAGCTAGATCCAGTGGAGACTATCACTCTGATGAGTAGCCTAAGATTACTTGCATCTGTTGTTGTTGTTATTGTGACATAACTTGTGCACATTTTACTAGTTAGACTTTTCTAATTCCTGACTACATGTTTGAAATCAAGTGAAACATTTTGAAATATGTGATATTTCATTGTCTAAATGTTTCACAACGCCTGAATGTTTAATATTTTAACATATAACCACAAGATATAAATATAGTATGAGTGTTAACACTATGAATGAATGTTTGGCACAAAGGTGTGTTACTGTTCAAGTCTCAGTGTTCAGATCAGTATGTTCAATCATGTGTCCTTGACCTTCACTGTGTATATCTTTATTACACTGTATTGCAAATAAAATACAAATAATAATCAAAGACCCACATTATTTTACTCTCCTAACACTCTTTCTTACCTGCCTCGGTTCAGTCACATTCATATTGATGGCCCATTAGGGGAGGCCCTTTGTCTCTCAGGTGTGAATCACTAAATATTCATGACCATTGTCACTCCCTCGCATAAGGGCATTCGATCACAAAACATGTTTTACAAATGTTAAATCAATATATTGTTTTCTGTAAATAAGCGAACAGGATCATTTTCACATCATTTGTGAAAAAAACTCTAGTCTACCACATTCTCAAAAGTCTTGTGAACAAAAGTTCTGTTTGTGTTTCATGGCCTTATTTCAGTGACTTAAAAAAAAGAAGTTTTTTTCACTAACCATGCATAAACATTGTTTTCTCAAAAACACAAACATGTACTTTCATGCTGCTCACAAATTATTGTAGCCCAGTTTGTGCTGAATACAGTGTTATCAGACTTTAGTCATTAACATTTTTTTTTAAGATACTGAAAAAAACCCTCAAATGTCAAGGCATGCCAAAACTTCTCCAGGGTTCCAAAACTCCCTCAGACCCCAGAGGGTTAAATGGCAAACACTTTTGCTGTCATTGTTTCAACCTTAATGTAGGTTATGGTGAGTGTTTTACTGATGTAGAATTGTTTACAGTATGTTTGGGTTCTTAAAAGTTTAAGATTTTATATATAATTGTTAATTTAACTTTAAAACACTGTAGTCATTTTCTTAATTTGTCATGACAGATGTTTGCATCATGACATCTGTTGATATCACATGTACATTTTTTGTTCGTTGTTTTTTTTAGTTTGTTACTCAGACGCAGGCAGTGCGCTGCATGAGACAAAAAAAGTCTCAAAGTCGCATAGCCGCTCTTTAGTGTAGATGCATGTTGATTTTATCAGACGATGCCGTGATTATAAATGTGAGACTCCTGATTAACAATAAAAGGGGTCGTGTTTAGTCACTATTTAGTGTGGTATTTTTTGACAATATTCACTCATCATGACAGAAAAATAGGGCATCAGAAGTCAATATACTGCAGTATTTCCTCTCAATCAGTAGAAAATATGGTTAACACCCGGTCATGCATGAAAAAACAAATACCGCCATGTACCGTGAAACCGGTATAATTTTGAAAAATACCGTGATATAAATTTTTGGTCATACCGCCCAGCACTAATTATATCTAATGCGGTCACGCCCACGAGCCGATCTCGCTTTTCAGATTCTAAACATCCACGTGAGACACGCGCACAAGTAAACGCCCACATCGCCTCCGCGTAAACAAACGTGAAGAGTTCATCCCGGCTACTTTTTGTTTCTGGAAGAAGACGCGCTGAGAGAAATAACCCAGAATTTACCTCACAAAGCAATGCGTCACGCAGCTAGATCCAGTGGAGACTATCACTCTGATGAGTAGCCTAAGATTACTTGCATCTGTTGTTGTTGTTATTGTGACATAACTTGTGCACATTTTACTAGTTAGACTTTTCTAATTCCTGACTACATGTTTGAAATCAAGTGAAACATTTTGAAATATGTGATATTTCATTGTCTAAATGTTTCACAACGCCTGAATGTTTAATATTTTAACATATAACCACAAGATATAAATATAGTATGAGTGTTAACACTATGAATGAATGTTTGGCACAAAGGTGTGTTACTGTTCAAGTCTCAGTGTTCAGATCAGTATGTTCAATCATGTGTCCTTGACCTTCACTGTGTATATCTTTATTACACTGTATTGCAAATAAAATACAAATAATAATCAAAGACCCACATTATTTTACTCTCCTAACACTCTTTCTTACCTGCCTCGGTTCAGTCACATTCATATTGATGGCCCATTAGGGGAGGCCCTTTGTCTCTCAGGTGTGAATCACTAAATATTCATGACCATTGTCACTCCCTCGCATAAGGGCATTCGATCACAAAACATGTTTTACAAATGTTAAATCAATATATTGTTTTCTGTAAATAAGCGAACAGGATCATTTTCACATCATTTGTGAAAAAAACTCTAGTCTACCACATTCTCAAAAGTCTTGTGAACAAAAGTTCTGTTTGTGTTTCATGGCCTTATTTCAGTGACTTAAAAAAAAGAAGTTTTTTTCACTAACCATGCATAAACATTGTTTTCTCAAAAACACAAACATGTACTTTCATGCTGCTCACAAATTATTGTAGCCCAGTTTGTGCTGAATACAGTGTTATCAGACTTTAGTCATTAACATTTTTTTTTAAGATACTGAAAAAAACCCACAAATGTCAAGGCATGCCAAAACTTCTCCAGGGCTCCAAAACACCCTCAGACCCCAGAGGGTTAAATGGCAAACACTTTTGCTGTCATTGTTTCAACCTTAATGTAGGTTATGGTGAGTGTTTTACTGATGTAGAATTGTTTACAGTATGTTTGGGTTCTTAAAAGTTTAAGATTTTATATATAATTGTTAATTTAACTTTAAGATACTGTAGTTATTTTCTTAATTTGTCATGACAGATGTTTGCATCATTACAACTTTATTAAAAAAAGGCCACAATGTTTAAGAGGTTTTAAATAAACAGTAGCACAGTGTAGCATAGTTTGTGATAATGCTTGGTATTTATTTGGTGCTGTTAAAACCACCACAACAAACCTGTAGCTCTTTTATGAAATAGTAGTTAATCGCATTTTAAATCACAAATCGCAGTTTTGATCAGAAAAATCGCAATTAGAATTTTTCTCCATATCGTGCAGCCCTATCGTTCGGTACCAAATTTCAATATCTAAGGGGTTAATCCCATCAGCGTCAGTCAGCCAATAAGCCTGCAGCACTAGCCGGTGTGTTTGACTAGAAGAGGTGCGGAGCAGATCGATCATCCACGAGAGCGATTCGAAAGCGCACGGAGCGGTCTGCTCTCTTTAGCTCTCGTAGTTCTAATACACCGATCGGTCTGCACAGTCGGTCCGCGTCAAGTCAAACACACCTACTAGTTTACACCGGTTACACTCGGAGATGTGGCGCACACATGAGGCTGTAGTGTGAATGCGTCCCAGCCCCCTTAGATGTAAGGCTACATTTACACTGGTGTGTTTGTTTTAAAATGAAAACAGGGGCTCAGGAGATGAGTCTTTGAGATTGTATAAACATCAACAAGCTTTTTTTCTTTTTTTTTTTTTTTAGATAATGTAATCTTGTTAAAATTGATTTCATAAAATTGGTATCGGAAAAAGTATCGTTCAGGAACCGGTATCGAAGTCAAGGTATCGGTATCGAAAATTTTTGAACGATACCCAGCCCTAGTAGTAGCGGTTCATCTCTGACCAATTAATTCACTTGATCAAATTACAGAGAGTAAGGTAATGGTTGTTTTTAAAAGCAATATCAATTATAATATATACATGGTATAACATATTTGATTGTAATTACAGACCGTATCTGTTGTTTTTAGGGTTGAACTCACCCCATCCATCAGCTCCATCACCTCCTTTAGCGTGGGGGCCGCTGAGGGAGAGAGGAAGCCGGAGCGGTCCATCACCCACGTGGACACAGTCGAGTCTCCAGCTTCACTTTTGGGGGTCGCTGGAGCTTTCGGAGTCTTGGGAGATGCAGTTTTCTGTGGAGCAGAGGTGACTTTCTCATGAGCATCCGGATCCTGTAAACACACAAGTGTGCAAGACACAAAACACATGATTATTTATTAAAGACAGGTTTTAAAACATATCTTAACCACACATCGTCATACGAACCAAACACTGCTATCACCGATTCCGAAGTGCCACAAGCGTTAACACTATAAAACCTGCTGTGTCATATTTAATATGCAGATTTCTAAGGGTTATAAATTGTCAGCATGATCTGGTCAACACTTCTATCGTCTGACTGATGGTTTACACGTTCAAAACGAGTATAAGGCCTTTAAGCGTAATTGTAAAAACGTCCACCTTCAGCTCATGCTTCATATGTCTAATCTTTACAGATTTTTACAAAGCAAACATAAGCATAACATTGATATTATTAGCAATATTTCAAGGTGACCATTTCATTAACTGAGCTTTAGCCTACTTGATCATCCAGACATTATTTTTAATTTTTTTTATTCATGTTCAAATGTATCAGATATGATCCATCAGGCTTTTGAGGAATGTTTCATCATTGCATTGCATTATAGGTTTTGAAACGACAGATCTTTAATCGTAAAACTAAGAACTGAAATATCATACAGAATCTGCTCAAAGGAGCTATTCCTTTGGGAATTAGACTACACTTGTCCCCGTGTTTCTCCCTGTAGATTCAGCTGCGGTGTTGCAGAGCCTCTGGACAGTAATGCAGAAAACACAGCCGGAGCATGTTAATACAACTGCACACACGAGAACAATTAGTAGAAAGTTTGTCTTTTTTTTTTTTTTTCCTTCAAACGATTCGAATGTCAAAAGCAGGCCTCACTCTGACTTTGTGTAATAGACTTTGCAATTAAAATCATTGATGTTTTCATTATACCCTCTTCAGGACCTGACCTGGCCCCTGCTATAAAACACAAATCAACAGAGTTCATCCACAAGCCTTCCCAGCCGCTGCTGTGAAATACCTGCCGCTGCACGCTCTCCTCAGACACCAGCTCTTCAGTCTCCGTCTGCTGCAGCACCGGAAGCGTCGTGTCCACGCCGGCGTAGTAACCCGTCTCTACTTTACGCTTGATAGTGGAGTTCCAGTGGTTTTTGACAGCATTGTCCGTTCTGGAAAAAATAAACTAACTAAGAAATCTTCTCAACTTCACAGTATAGCAGTCTATGGGAGCTCATAACTGTGAGATCAGAACTGTGATATATAAACTCGCAATTGTAAGAAAATGTCAGAATTGTGAGCTGACTTTCCCCCCTCAGAACTGGACTTTATAACTCGCAATTGCAAGTGTATATCTGAGAAAACAATTCTGAATTGCGGGATATAAAAAGAGAAAAAATAGGTCAAATGTGAGATATAAAGTTGCAATTAGCTTGAACTTTTTTTATTCCGTGGCAGAAACAAGCTTCCATACCAATCAGACATGTGTCAACATTAGGGATGTCAAAATCTCATGATACGATAATATCTCGAAGTCCACGGTACGATATTTATTGCGATATTTAAAAAAAAAAAAAATTGCAAATGAAGATTTGGAAAAAGATGACAATTATGTAAATTTTAAAGGGGTCATCGGATGCCCATTTTCCACAAGATGATATGATTCTTTAGGGTCTTAATGAAAAGTCTGTAACATAGTTTAGTTAAAATTTCTCAACGGTAGTGTAAAAAACATCTTTTCAGATCAAGCCGTTTTTGTAGCATTTTCCTTTAAATGTTAATGAGCTCTGCTGACCCCGCCCTTCTCCTCCGAGCTGCTCTCAGAGAGACTGTTTACTTTAGCAGCATTCATCGTGAAACTTGCTAACTAGCACATTATTAGGAAAGGCGATTTGCAAAGATTCATTACAAAACATTATACTCACTTCTTCTGTAGGTGAAGCTGGATCATGAATGATTTGCGCAAACATAGACGCATTTATGTAGATCGGTGGCGCATTCCCTTCAGAAACAAACGTAATCCACTGCGTCTGCAGCGGCTCAGATGTCGGGAGTAAATGACGACTGCTATGTTCATTATTACATCCAACAACAGAACACCTCAATCGTTCAGGAGTCATTCTTGTCTACATCTGCTCCAGCGGTGAAACACTGGCAGACTGATGACAGTCACTCAGGGCGGAGCTAAGGTAAGACGCCAGTCCAGTCTGTGCTGAAACACTGCTGTCAATCAAACTATCGTGGGAGGGGCCTGTCTGTGTGACGTCACACAGACAGGCATCTGAGATCTGCTCGATTTGAGAAAGGGGTAAAGATTTGAGCAGATCACCGGATCACGAGCTGATCGCATGAACCAAGTGCGCGCTTTGCTTTGAAACGTGCAGCGAAAACAGACTTGATGAAGGGATTAAGCCATATTGTGCTTTCAGTTTTAGTTCGTTTGACAGATATTGTGCCAAAGCATAATGGCCCAAAACACAACTTTAAAGACCTTTTGTGTTAGAATAAGAAGTTTAAATATATTTTTAAAACTACACTTTTTGCATATCGTCATCTGACCACGATAATATCGTTACATCCCTAGTCAACATGTTTTAAAATATAAAGTATTTTAAAATATGTTCAACTGAAGCTCGCCTACCATTACATTCAGCCGTGCTCCATTCTGCTGATTCTGAATCACGAGCCTAAACCAGCCCAACTCCACAAGCCTTCCCTAAAAGCCAAGTAACCAACTACTCTTTCAGACAACCTATCATTCCTAAAATCTCCAGTGCGTTCACCTTCCCGGAAGCAGTTTGGCGATCTCGGCCCAGCGGTTGCCCAGCACACAGTGAGCCTTGTAGATGATGAGATCTTCGTCTGGGGTCCAGGAAGACTTCTTGACGTCTGGATTGAGGTGGTTGTGCCAGCGCTCTCTGCACTGCTTCCCGAGACGGCCCTTCAGGTGCTTGGCCACCATCGCCCACTGCTTGTTGCCGTACTTCTTCACGAGCTCAATCACCTGGACACAGCCACGAACAGACTTCACATACTGCGTCACCGACGCATTCCCAGACTAGTCTGATTGATCAAGATTGCTGGTTAAGAAACTGCTGGACCAACTGTAAGGCCCCTATGAAGTCTATTGTGTTTTTTCCAGTTTTAATGTTTCTGGATTCTGTTCTACCCAGCGTTCTTTAATGTTATACAGTAAATTCAATTCTTATGATTAGATTTTGCTATTCCAGTCTTGATTTCCACATTGTAGAAAAATCATAGGCTGTATGTCACTTAATAAAAACAAGATGAGAATTTGGAAAATTGTATGTAGAATATATACCAAAGAAATGTTTATGACTTAACATAGGGCTACACGGTTGTGACAAAAATCATAACTGTCGATTATTCCCTTGAAATTGTAATTGCGATTTTTAATTACGATTATCGGAATTTACATTGAATGATGTTTATACCATTGTTTGATGCAACTGCATGCAGTATTTCTATATGAAAATAAACCAGCTGAAAACACTAACTGAAAAACCTTTAGTGCTTTTCTATAGTATTAAGCCTCAAATGTCAACTACACATCGGATTGGTTTCTTCTTTCAATTATAAAAAAGTAAAAATATGAATGGTATTATAACGTTATACTAAAATTAAAATAATGGGAAAACCCCTTAAGATAACATGTAGAACGAAAAAACTCATCTTAAGCACGCAGAATAACATAAGTGGACTTTGAACGATTAATTGCCGCTTTCAATGATTACGTAGTTGTGGCATCCATAATTGTAATCGCGATTAGAAACTGGATTAATTGTGCAGCCCTAACTTCACATTTCACTCATTCCCATACTTTTCCCAGCTTGGAAATCACACTTTTGATTAAAAGACTCTTTTTTTGGTACCTTCTCATCCTCCTCCTTTGTCCAGGGTCCTTTGACGAGATCAGGATCCAAAACTTTGAACCAGCGATGCTGACACTGATGCTCCGATCGATTCTGTAACAACAACGACACAACTGCCACCGTTAAAGCAGACCACCACAGAGACCCCTCTCTCATGTGAGCTCTCTGAATGCATTATTGATGTAGACAGACTTACAGGCAACAAGCCAGCGATGTATTTCCAGTCATTCCGTCCAAAGTTCAGCACCAATTTTCGCAGCTTATCATCCTGGAAAACACAAAGCCAAGAAATAAACGCATATGCCATCTTTCATTTCTGACAAATATCCTCTGGATTCCATGCAACTGAAAAAAAGTTGCATTTATTCTCCCAATTTTGTCAGGTTTGCACAACCAAAACCTTCCCACTTAAAAAAACCAAACGACAAGACATTGTAATCCATATGAATCGAGCATTGTTAAGATATGTTGGCTTTATATGGGGAACATATTTCATTTTATCCTGTAGTCACGTGAACACTGATGTAGCATGTTTGAGCTTCTGTTTACCATATTTCATGAGCTCCCAGTTTGCGTGCAGATCAATGTTTATAGGTCTAAATATTAGATTCATAGGTTTAGAATGACATGAAGGCAAGCAAACTATTAAACATGTATTTATCTTTCTAAATAGCGTAAAGTGGAGACGGAAATTCTGGAAAACAAAAGTGAAGTTACAGGTGTGTCTTATATATCAGCTGCTTTCTAATAGCTTTCGATCTTTTGTTTCAGAGTGTTTCATAATCTCAAGCAGTTTCCGCAGTGATCTGGAATAAGCTTAAAGGGTTAGTTCACCCAAAAATGAAAATTAGACTGTTTTACTCACCCCCGAGGCATCCTAGGTGTATATGACTTTCTTCTTTCAGACGAATCGAGTCGGAGTTATATTAAAAATGCTCTTTGATCTTTCAAGCTGTTTCATGGCACTCAGCGGGTGTTGCATGCTTCAGTCCAAAAGAAGTTAAATAAAAAGCGCCCATCCATAAAAACAAGTGACGTATGAGGTCAGTGCTGCGCATGCGCCGGTGAGTCTCGTGAAAACCAACGTTTGTTAACAGGAGCAAAGGAAGCAAAGTTTCCTTACTTTAGCAAAGGAAAACCAGTCTCCTCTTGGCTTATATCGAAATCCTCCGACATTCTTCTTTACATATCCTCGTTTTGTACTTCTAATTAGTGACCGTTGTTTTGTTTTGATCTCTCCGCTGCGCTCCCGCGTTCGTCACTTCTGAGCAGCGCATGCGCAAAGCTGAACTCATATGTCATCCGCCCGGAACAGCTTCCGTTTACAACTGTTGGCGCAAGCTACATTAAAGTGATTATTAAGTTTTGAATATGCATATTTTTCTTACAAAAATGCATCGATTCGCTACAGAAG